TTTCTTCTCTAGAACTTGGAGTGCAAAGCAAACTTCCCAAGAACAGCAGCCTCTTTGCTTATTTTGGTTTTCCTTAGTTCTTTTTTTCTTTTTTTTTTCCCCCCTTTTATTAATAAAGGCTTCATTAACAAGCAGCGACAGAAACTCGCACCAGGGAACTGACTATTCCAAGGAGCCAAGTCATCAATTAAACCAACATTTCTCTCTGTTCTTTCCCTTTCAAACCCTCGGTTTCATCACCAAAAAGGAGAGTCGAGAGGGCTCCAGCAAGGAGAAACAATACCACGGCACCAACTGCTTTATCTGCCCCTTCTCCCCTCCAGTGAGGCAGCAGATCCCACTGGCACGGCAGGTTTCAGGGGTCCCACAATGTCACAGATCCATGGGAATCATGGATGCTGCATGGGACAGGCAAGGAAACCTGCCCCGACACTCCAGCATCTCCCAAAATGTGGATCCCTCCTGTCTCCAGGATACCCAAAAGCTGGGGTTTTTTTTTCTCCTCTAACATCAATTCACCCACTAAAAATCATTCCTTGCTCTGACAAGATTTCTGTCCTGTTGGGATGCTGAGTGTGATCACGAGCGCTCTGCAAAAGTGTCCCCAAGGTGTCCCTACAACTCTTCACGCGGCAGCTGAAGAGCAGGAATAACAGCAACCAGCAATTAACAGCTGATCCCTACCATTTCTGATAAACCCCAGCATTCTGGGCAAGCTGGTGCCAAGTGCTAGAGAGGACAAGTTTCCTGTGGGGCACAAGCGTCGCTGTCCCTTTGGGACAGGCACAGGGACACGGGGCAGGTTGGACGAGCAGCTGCCCCCCCCCAGCTCCGTTTCCAGCCTCTCCTGGTGCAGAAATCCCATAATTTTTAAGGTTAATAAAGCCCTTGTTTGCTTAAGACAGCACCTGTTTCTATGGTGACACTTGCAACCCGGAGCCTGTTTATCAGCCGGCGACGAGGAACGCGCTGACAAACGCGAGCGCCGGAGAAGACACCGCGGTGAAGACCAAGAGTGGTGCCAGGACCTCTGGGAGCAGGGATGCTGCGGTCCCTGGGCTTCCAAACCTGCCAATCCCGCATCCATGTGTTCCCCACTCCGCTCTACAAAGCCATGGGGGTGACTGGAGCACCGGGAGCTGCACCCGGAGCACCCGCTGTGGGGGGAAAAGCCACTGCCGGGATGGGCGATGGGTGGGAATGGCTTTCCATCAAAAACCTTGGATGCAGTTCCCATCTCCGACCCCAGACTTGACTCTGGCAGCTCCGTGCCTCAGCTGCCCCCGTGCCCTGTCCTGGGGAGGGGTCTGGGGAGGCAGCTGAGCCGAGCTGTGCCCGTGGCAGCAGCGCCCGGCGGGTCCCGCTCCGCTCCAGCCTGGCGCAGGATTTCTCCCGGCTGGCAGAACTGGTTTCCATAACGACTTTCTGTTACAAACATATTTTGATAAAAATAAAGTTAAAGCAGCGAGGCTTTAGTGGAGTACAAATTCGCTGCTCTCGCCCTCCCCCTTCCTCCTCCCCAAGGAGGGGGAATAAAGACGGAAAGCTTTCCATTTGAAGGGCAGTATTTTCTCCCTTCTTTTTCTTTCCCCGCTGAATACAAAATGGAAAACCTTGTTTACTGGGTTTCGCTGTAAACTGGTTCCGACTCTGCCTGGTTACCTGATGCTCTACAGTATATACAGGATAATGTGATAAATTCATTTCCAATTCACTGCATTATCCTTTGAATATTTTAATGACTCATTGAATGGAGTAAAAAAAAAAAAAAAAGCTATTTCAAATGAACAATTATGCTGCATTAGAGTAAAGGCTGATTATATTTAAACACTGCTTCCATGGATAACGGGACATATCGACCTCCGCCTATAAGAGCTAATTTGGCTCTTATCTCTAAATAATTTTACACTGCAAATTACCATGAAAACCTAAAGGGCTTTAAAAACATTCATCAAAAGATATTATTCCACTTTGTAGCAACATTTTTATTTAAATTATTTTGAATAGGAGTGAAAGCATCTCTCGTGTTTGACAATCGGAGCAGCGACGGAGCAGCAGCTGATAAGGAACGGCACCGATGGGATGGGATGTTCCATCCCCAAACCCCACCTGGGAGAGCAAATTCAGAGCCAGATCCCAAACTTGGTGGCGTGCCAAAGTACTGCAGCACCTAGAAGTGGCATTTTAGTGCTGCTGGAGCTGCTTCCCTCCGATCTGAGGGATTGCAAAGCCGGGGTGACGCTGAGGAGATACCCGAGTGATGCCGGGATGATACCTGAGGGATGCTGGGGGGGTGCTGGGATGATGCCAGGGCAAAGCCAGGGGGACACCTGAGTGATGCTGGGATGATGCCAGGGCAAAGCCAGGGGGATACCCAAGTGATGATGAGGGGATGCTGAGCAATGCTGGGGTGATACCCAGGTGATGCTGGGTTGGTGCTGGGATGATGACCCAGTGATTCTGGGGGATGCTGGGCAATGCTGGGGTGATACCCAGGTGAAGCTGGGTGATGCTGGGGTGACACTGGGCAATGTTGGGTGATGCTGGGGTGATGCTGGGCAATGCTGGGGTGACTCTGGGAGCTGCTAGGGTGATACCCAAGTGATGCTGGGCGATGCCGGGGTGACACTGGGCAATGCTGGGTGATGCTGGGGTGATGCTGGGCAATGCTGGAGTGACTCTGGGAGCTGCTAGGGTGATACCCAAGTGATGCTGGGCACTGCTGGGATGATGTCCAGGTGATGCTGGGCAATGCTGGGGTGATGCCCAGGTGATGCTGGGCAATGGTGGGGTGATGCCCAGGTGATGCTGGGCAATGCTGGGGTGACACTGGGCGCTGCTGGGGTGATACCAAAGTGACACTAGGTGCTGCTAGGGTGATGTTGGGTGCTGCTGGGGTGATGCCAGGGCACTGCCAGGCGCGGGGGCTCCAGCAGCCCCCAGCCCTGGCGCCGGCCGCCCCGTCCCTCCCGCAGGAAGGCACTCGAAAGCCCCTCTCTGCACCAAAGCAACAGAAGGTGTCATGTAAAGCCTACACGGTTATTTTAGAGCCAGTGTGCAAATAAGCCTGTCAGCTGAAGCTCCTCAGAGCCAAGACTCCCATGTACCCCCCAACGATCTGCATTTCAACGAGACACCATGTGGCTGAGCCCGCCGGCTCCGCCGCAGCCATTTGGGGCTGGGGGCTTGGGAAAACTCCCCCTGCAGCCCCAGTGGGACACGCTGGGACCCCCCCTCTGCACCCCCAGCAACGGGCACCGACCTCAGGGCTTGAGAGAAGTGGTTTTGTCCCCAGTGCCCTGCCAGGACGGTGCTGGTTTGGGTGGTTTATAGTGCAGGGGGGATTTATACGCATTGCTGTGTGTGTGTGTGTGGATGAGAGATCCGTGTACACACACCCACGAGAGATAGATGGGATATATATATCCCATCATTATAGAGATCATATCAATACATGCATTTTATATATCATTATCACAGAGATTCACAGAATAGCTCACATTGGAAGGGACCATGAGGATCATCGAGCCCAAATTCCCGCTCATATATGTGTATATATATATATTTATATATATTTTATATATATATATCATGATAAGAAAGCTTAAGGAATAGTTGGGGTTGGGATCAACCCCATCCCTGCAGAGACAAATCACCTGGGCACGGGAAAACCTTTTCCCTTCCCAAAAAATCTCCTTTTCCCGCCCTCCAGCGTGGCCTGACAAGGAATTTCTGACCTTACAAATCACAAACTGAATCGCCCAAATGCCAGGGGAAAAACAAATAAAGCACCTTCCGTTCGTGCTGAAGGTTTTAATCCTGCAAGTCCCTTCTTTGCTGAAATGATTTCGTACTCAAAAAAAAAACCAAAAAAAAAAGAAAACCACAATAATTAGCAAGAGCCTCGGAAGGATCTGGGTACAGAAGGAAAAACAAGAGCTTGGGCTCCTTTGCGTTCAGTAAATATTAAAATTAATGAGAGACTTTCAGGACCCTGTTGTTAGAAATGCAGAAGGGCTTCTGTGAAGGATTAAAACACAAAACAACAACAACAAAAAAATAAGCCCTGTACACAAATTCCTGCAATTATTCCCAACGCTTTCTATTTTTTCAGCCAATTATGAAATTCATGGAAAGTATTAATATCCGATTTTAATTTGCTTAATATTCCCATTAACAATAAAAAGTCTAATTAAGGTATCTGTACAAAGAGCCCTCAGCAGTAATTTCAGAGAATAATAGAGGAGAACGATGAGATATTTCTTGTTAAATGCTCGCTGCAAATTAATTGATATCTTAATTAGGCTTTAGTACTAAGATTATTAGTTAGATTGATTCAGGGCTGAAACATCTCATTTTTTAAGGGATAAAAGCAAGCAGGAGAGGAACAAACTGATTTTCCAAAATATTTCTGAAGGGAGAGCAACGACACACGGGGACATTTCGGGAGCAGGGGTAAGGACTCATCCCATAGACACAGAGCTGGGAAGCACCAGAATTCAGCCCAAACCCATTTTCCTCCTGTTTGCTTCACCAGACTCAAAAGCTTTTTCTCCTCCCAAAAAAACAAAAACCAGAAAGGGAATACAGATTTTTTCACCCAAACCACTTTTTTAACCACAAAAACCACCCGGCAGCAAGAGCTGTTTGAAACGACGGGTTGTCTCCACACAGAAAACTGGTGGTGGGGAGTTGGCAAAGTGCTTTTTTTTTTTTTCCAGCATTTCCTTAGAAGAAGAAGAAAAAAAAAAACAAACCCCAACAGCAATATTTTTGGACCAGCCTGGCTCTATATAGCCTGAGGAAGCACTTCCCTACCTACACGCCCAGCACCATTTACATTTCTCTGGCAAACACTCGTCCCTCGGGATTTCGCTGAGATGCTGCTGCACCGAGAGGGATGTGCATCCTATGGGAATCCAGCTCTCTGAGGCAGGACCAGGATGCACCCCCATGCTCAGGAATGCCCCCAAGCTGCCTGGACCCCACAGGGGACTCACCAGGATGTCGGTGACCACCCAGTGCCTCCAGTACCGGTGCCGGGGGTTGGCTCTGTTGGGAGCGTCGGGATCCACCATGACCAGCACGTACTTCTTGTTCTGCAAAGAGAGGAGAGCAGAGCACTGTGGGCACAGTATGTGAGCAAGGAAGAGCCCCCCCCAGGAGCTCTATCAACCCCCAAATCCATGTTTTTCCACAATTCCCCAAGTGCACTTTGATGGCTGATCCACATTTAACGAGCAGAGGTGAGCGAGGAACGTGCACCAGGGCAGGCCACAAACCTGCTTATGGTGATTTACTCCTTGTGGTCTAAATCTCTTTAAATACAGGAAAAAAAATGTGTTTTCTGCCTCCTCTAAATAAAAGGCACCAAGGGGAATTCCCTCTGCTTCCAGCCATCCTCCAACCACGTCCCACCATGGCGCAGGGCAGAGCGGTGTGGCACAACCACAGTCCCTGGGAGGAGGTGATGGGATATTTTTGGGTGGCCAGGGACAGGCTGGACACTCAAGGGTCCATGGGGGTGGCTGTGAGGAGCCAAACACCACCTCACACCCCCCAAAATAACTAAAAGATGTTCCAGGGATGCTGCAAGAAGGCAAAGTCGCTGCCTCACCACACATCCAATGGGTCCAGTACCACTTCTGGGTGATGGAAGTGGGCAGAGAGAGCTGGCATTTATGGATGATACTGGCTCAGCCCCCAGAAAACCCCCACAGCCCACCCCAGGTCCCCACAGCAGGTACCACCAGCACTGAGACAACGTGGATATTTTGGTCTGCTGAGGATGGAGCTGGGTTTGAAGTGACCTCTGGAGGGAGGCTGTGGATAGAAAACCTGCTGATCTCCGGGGATTTGGCAGGACCTCAGGCACCAGATTATCCTGCAAGCACCCAGATTAAGGGATCTATATCCTAATAAAACCTCCAGGTGCGTCTGTCAGCTCACCAGTGGCACCACTCGCCGCTCCAGGGCGGAGGTTTCATAAACAGCTGTGGGATTTAGCCAAGCAATTCCCACTGAAATTAGCTGGAACTCTGTGGCTACATCCCCTGGTCGCTTGTGAAACCAGGCTGGGATTTTCACAGCGAGGTTGTTGGGGCTGACATAATATTTTTTTTGCTCTATTTCCCAACCATTGGTTGGGGTAAATGGGGCAAGTGAGCCCCGGGGTACTGCCATAGCCAGAGACCCCCTGTGCCCCCTTCCCTGGGCATCCCACTGGAGCCACGCATCCCTCAGCCCCCCCTGCAGGCTCCACCTCCACGAGAAGTACCAGTTTAACCAGAAAACGTGGATTTCAACTCATTTAGCAACCAGCTTGCAACAGCTGCAGAGAAAATCCCAAACTCATGCAACCCCCCTGCCCGGGAGCGCGGCCGTGCCGCTGCCCTGGTCCATTAATCCCAGCCTGGAGGAGGTTACACCAAGCACACAGATATGGGACAAGGGGGTGTGATGGTGTCACCACGTGAGGTCGAAGGTCAGGACCTCAGGGCAGAGCTGCCACCTCCCTCCTCATGAACTCCCACAGCTGCAGCATCCCAGAAAAAAAATCCCCCAGCAACGTATTCATATTCCTCGTGGTGCTGAACGGGAAGGAGGAGAAGGAAGGGGTGGGGAGGGAGGGGGGAAAAGAAGAAGCCCGACAACCCAAAAACCCTACGCTGGAAGTGTGAAGGAATTTGAGCTCTAACTTTGGGGAGGGTGGGGAGCTGAGCTGAATCTCTCGGCTCCGCTCGGAGCCCAGCTGGTGGGAACAGAACGTGTAGTCATGGGACTGTCATCGTGTGCTGTCCAGGTTAACATGTAGCATTTCTATTACTATTAACAGACTTTCTGCTCCTCACTCCATCTGTTCTTCGAAATAATTGCAGTTGTACAGACCATGCCTTCGCTCCAGGCAGGCTCTGGGGAGAGGATAGTGCTTTTATGCAAAAAAAAAAAAATTAAAAAAAAAAAAAGGGGAAAAAAATGAAAAGGAAAAAAAAAAAAGTGTTAAAAAATAACAGCAAACACGAGAATAGAGTGCAAGTGAAGCTAACAGCAGGCTGGGAATTCGGGACAGATTGTGGCCTAGAAAGGTGAGGGCGCACGCGGCCGGGGGCCGGCGAGGCCAGACCCCTGTGGGGACGGTCCCTGGGGTCAGTGGCCCTGAGCTGGGCTGCCACCGGGGATTTTTCCCCTCTCCTTACCTGCTGGCCACCCTAAGAGCCACAATCCCTCACCTTCCACCTAAAGATAGCAAAGCCCTCCACGACCCGAGTTAATCCCGGCTGCTTAAGGTGTGTCACAGCCTGTGCCAGCTCCTGGGGCTGCACCAAAACCACCCCACAACCCCCTCCCCGACGTCCTCAGGCACTGCTGTGCACCCCAAACACGGGGTAGGTGTGTTTTTTCGCTGCTTGGCAGCAACAGCAGCCTGAGTGCTGGTGATTTTCGGGGGCTTTTTGATGCTGAAATCCCTCCTCGACACAGGCTAACAGCATTAGCTGCTGTCAGGGCTGCAGACGGGAGCCAGCCCGGAGTGACACGGGAGCTGCTCAGCTTTACAAGCATGAACCAGCCCCGGGGATTTTTGGAGAGCAGGAAAGTGGCTTTACATCAGAAAATTCCTCCAGTGCGGAAGAACAGGCGGCATTTTACTGTGCAGAGGGAAGGGAGGAAGGGGGAGAGGGAAGATAAAGCCACTCTGGGCTGCCACAGATGAAAATTCGGGGTAACAAAGCACCCCCAAAGCCCTGGCACCCTTTCCTGCTCAGCCCAGGGCACGGAGGAGGTGTTGGTGTGAGGGACCCAGTGGGGACGTGGTGTGTCCCACCAGTGTCATGGAATCATGGAATGGTTTGGGTTGGAGGGACCTTAAACCTCATCCCATTCCACCCCCTGCCATGGGCAGGGACACCTTCCACTAGCCCAGGTTGCTCCAACCTGGCCTTGGACACTTCCAGGGATGGGGCAGACACAGCTCCTCTGGGCAACCTGTGCCAGGGCCTCCCCACCCTCCCAGGGAGGAATTCCTTCCCAATATCCCATCTAACCCTGCCCTCTGGCAGTGGGAAGCCATTCCCCCTTGTCCTGTCCCTCCATCCCTTGTCCCAAGTCCCTCTCCAGCTCTCCTGGAGCCCTTTTAGGCCCTGGAAGGGGCTCTCAGGTCTCCCTGGATCCTTCTCTTCTCCAGGCTGACGTGTGACACCGATGGGGTCACCCTTCCAAGGGTCACCCTTCCCTGCTCCCCCGGCCATTCCTCACCCTGGGACACATTAAAATCAGCCTTTAACCACTGCAAGGAGCTGCTGCCTTCCCTAGGGCTTGGAGCCGTGGCTTCACCCCCCAGCTTTGCCCTCCACATCCCTGGGAACGGGCATCCTGCCCTGCTCCACCACCTGACACAGAGCCGGGGCAGCAGAGCTGGTGGCAGGTGACACCAGGGCTGCATCCCGTGTTTTCCCTGCTAATTGTTTCTAGAGGGAAGCAGCAGCAAAATCTCCAGTTATTCCTGCAGAGAGCATTAGCTTCTCCAATTAGGCACAGGTTTAGGAAACTTGCTCGGAGCAGGCAGGGACTTTTCCAAGAGGCAGGCGGGCAGGAGAGGGATTTGCGCGCCGGGGCTACGCACACAGAGAGCTCCACAGATCCCGCGGAGCCGGGGCTGCACAGGAATTAAAGACTTATCCAAATGAAAGCAAATAGGGTGTTAAAGCGACACACATGTAGAGCGAGCGGTTTCCTTGGAAACCAGCGCACATGGAAGCGCCACACGTGCAGTGCTCCGGCATTTTCGGCAGTGCTGGGGTGGCCGTGGGGGTTCTGCCCTGCCAGGGGTGCCCCTGCTGGGCTGGGGATGCAGCTGGATGAGCCCAGAGGTGCCCATGGCATCCTGCTGGCATCCGTTTCTCCGGGGTGTGGAGAAAAACTGGCTCCAAGGGCACTTCCTCCTGGGTGGGAAGGGGAGATGGATGGTGCTCAGCTCTGCTGGCCCTGCTTGCCTTAGGAATCCTATCCCAAAACTAAAGGACAGAGCCCCAGCCAGGCGCCCAGCCCAGCACCTGCTTCCCAAGGCGGGTTTGGATGGTTTTGAAAAGTCCACCTGGATCCTCCCCAGCTCCTCCATCCCTTGGAGCTGTTCCCTGTGCACGCCCGCCTGGAGCACATGTTGTTCCCTCCTGGAAGCACCCAACCCCTCGCCACACAAGGGATGAGGTGAGAATTCCAGCTGTCCCATTGCCACCCACACATCTTTTCCAGTTCCTAAGGAATGTCCCCAGGTGGGGAGCTGCTGTGGAAGCGAATCATGGCACCGACGGGTTACGACGGTATCTGAGCCAAAGGGCCTTCCACCTCCCTGGCATTTCAACATCCCATATTACCCTGCTGGAAAGGATTTTGGGGTGACAGACGGCACGAGACAATCCAGACCAGACCCTTTGGTGTGGAGATGGGATGGGGAGGTGCATCCCAAGCAGGCAGCGCCCACACCGGAGCCAGGCAAGAGCTGGGTTTATGCAACCACAAACCAGAGAAACCAAATATACCCAAAATGACTTCCCAGAGCAGGGCACGAGCTCCTGGATGGGCAGGGAAGGTGGGAAAGGTACTCAGAACCTTGGGAAACATTACTGCAGCCCTCCTAAGGGACGTCTCAAGGGTCCAACCCGTGTCCCACCAGCATAGAAGTCGGAGCGATGCTGCTGCTCCCGCGAGGTGGAAGTGCCACAAGCACCAGCTGAGAGTCAATCTGGGCTTCTTTCTTGGCTTGTCCCCAGTACTAAAAAGTTTCTATAACAGGCACCGAGTTCGCAATTCTGCTGCTGCTGCTGCTGCTGCTTCGCCAAAGAGAAATTCCAGCTCCCTCCTCGGTGGCAAAGAAAATTGTTTGCGACCGAGTTGTTGTGGCTCCGGGAAGGAAGGAGCTGCCGAGCGTGGCAGGATTTCACCTTCTTATTTTAAACCTGCCCCTCACCACTTCCACGGGCAGAAACAGGTCAGCAAAACGAACCCTGCTCCGCAGGACTTGCCCAAGGGAACTTCATTGACTTTCCAACACGCTGCAACTCTCCCCACATCCCTTCGCTCTCCCTCGGGACTCGCTCGCCGGCCAAATATTTATGCAGCCGAATGT